TGGATAAGCACAACTGATTTACCAATACCAGTGAGAGGAATGGTGAGCCAATGTCTGGATATGGTTCATCTGGGGACCTGAATATGTCAAGTTGAATCACACAGGCTAGGTAATGACTGAAAATGTGGTATCTTGGATGAATAAAAACAAAGCACAGCCCAAAAGTAGTTCAATATTGTGCTGCATGCTGTACAGATTATAAAGCCCCATGTGGCAAATTTGCGATTTGTGATATTTGGCTATATAAATAAAATTGACTTGACTAAGTTGTCCCACACTGGGACTACATCACTACATTGTCACGCTTTGTTCTAATAAGAAGAAACAGGCTGTTGTTGTATATTCTCAACTTAATTGAATTGTATCCCAAGCCTCTGTCTTATAAGCAACACAAAGCTGCCAGGAGAGCACTTAAGACACCATGCTCAGATCCCCGAGTCAGGAGGCTTTAGTTGAAGCGCATACAATCACAATAATATGGGTAGATTTTTAATATTGCCCTGCCACTGCTCCCTAAAGCAATCACAGCAAACTCACTGCGTAGGGGCGGGGGTAACTAAATTGGATTATGGGCCACAAGCACTTTAATTTTCTTGCGGGAACTAAAACGAATGAAGAAGCATCCGCATCACTTTGCCACCTCCCTCAGAGGAGCGAGTAAATACTAGCAACTGCTGATTTTTAGAGTGAACTTTGACAAGTGTGGCTGTGACAACAAAACTCACTCAAGACTTCACACCATCAGTAAAAAAAAAAAAAAAAAAAATCCTCCAAAGCAGTTCATGCTCCCATTGTGTTATGTTGAGGTTAATACCACAGGCTGTGTGACACAACAATGAACACATCTTGATATTATCTCAGGTAATTATCCAATTAGTGCTAATTGAACTTATACACTACAGAGGATCGGATTGTTTGTGCAGTGTCCTTGAAAATGAATAACTGCAATGAGTAGCAGAGTTTGGATAATCGCATCTTAATGACTATGCACCTGTGACACAGCTATTATGCCACTTTGGACGAGATCATAGAAATGCAAAGTAGGGTCGCCCAGAGGTGAAGCAAACCCAAACAAATCTCTGTTTTATTGAAAAGAAATCACACAAACGAATCAAATACACAAAATGAAGTAATAACATTTAACGCCTCGCCTCTTTTTTAAACCTTGACCTAACACTAAACTACCTACTTATGTCTCTCCAGTGATAATCTTCTCTCTGATAAACAATCACAATATATAGAGTAAATGCAAATGAACCCACATTTGAAAAAAATCAGCTTTAGAAGCAACTCTTTGGTTTCGTATTTTCAGCATGATGATCTCGCCTCCCTATGTCCTCTCCCAGGCACTTTTTAGACCGGTAAAATCCCGATTAGGGCCTGTGATCTTGCTGAGCCACATAACTCGGTCAAAGTTATCGAGCGTTATATTTTGTGGCACTTTACACGCCGCTTATGTGAATTTAAAGCATGTTTGCAAGCTCAGGAAACATGTTTAAGCTTGAGAACTGTGTAAGCAGAAGACTCGCTTCTCTGACTTTCATGAGCTGATCCAACACATTTTGGCAGCATACGCCACATAACCAACACCTTTTTCCAAAATGACCTTTCTTTTGTTAATTATCATTTAATTGCCCTTGCGACATAATAAAAATAAAATTGAGCAATTTACTCGTAATGTTCTGCACTGTCGAGTATGACTTTAACCTGCAGGAACACAATGAGAAAGTGATTTATTTTTTGTGGTGCAGAACTTGCTGGAGTGGAGTGAGTTAAGGTGAAGTAAGTTACTAGTAGCTCAGCTATAAACTTCATAGCGTCTAACTGTCTGGCATCGCTGCAAGGGTGGATATTGCCTCTTGCTTCCTCCTGAGACAGAGATGGACACAGACTCACAGCCGCATGACACTTTGTTTTTCTTCTGCAATTTCCTAACAAAACCCGCAGCGTGCTGTTGCCTGATATCAAGAAGCTTACCACTGACATGTTTTCCACCCAATCAATGTTTAATTTAAAAGCAGTGTCTACAGGAAACTCGAGGAACTTTTTATTGACAAGTTAGATTCAAGTTGTTCCCTATTCCTTTGTTTTCTCCTCCAACGTCTCCATCACGAAGTACTTTTTATACCTCTGTGAGACTGTCAGAGAGAAGCATGCATTGTCTAAGTACCAATGTCTGAATGGGCGAAAAGTAGGGGGACGTCTCCCCAACGCCCAAACAGAACAGTGGGGGCAAGAAACAGTGAGAGATGTGAGAGTGTTAATCAGCAGCACAACTCTGTAGCTTAACAAACAGCACTAATTACACAAGGATAAAGACTTGTTCATCACACAGCTTACGAGACACAAGTTAATTGCCTCTGCTTGCAGTCCTCCCTCTTCATCTAAAGTCAGCTCATTCCAAAGTCACTTGGAGCAAGAGCCACCGCTTTAATTTGTCTGTTTCCTCTCTCTTGTTCATTCAGTGTTTTTGCCCTTATTTCTTTGGGTGCATCTCCCTTCTTACAGGAAATCTAGCTGAACCTGCACTACTAAATCAAAGAGTTGGAAGCCTATGTTGATATTTTAATGGTCTGCCATTACAGCTGACAGTACAAACATGGTGAAACAAATCGGCGTAGGATGTAAGCACGCTGGTTGAAATCTATATCATACAAAGCACAAGAGCTGCAGCCCCGAGCGATGGAATCTATTACTTTCCTTAGAGGTTATCACCTGTAATATGGATGCATACATAGAGGTCACAGAGCAACGATATTCAGAATGAAAACAGGGAATTGGATTTATGTCATTCTAGCATGTACACCACAGAGGTGCTCTCCAACTGTGCCTTTGGCTGCAGAGCTGTGTGGATCAATACGCTAAAAATACACTGACTAATGTGTTCAAGATGGTATTTAGATGTGTTTGTATGAAGTAGGCCTTTTACTTCTGCAGGGACCCGTGTCTGTGCTTGTGTGAATGTAACAGCTACAGCTGTGAATACAGAGTCAAGGACGGTTATCTGTATTGTACTGGTAAAACGTGATTGGAATAAGATGGGTGGCACAGAAAAGTAAAAGTGAAGAAATCTGAAGTCAAAACTTTCGACAGTCAACGGTGAGCTTGTCATGGCTGCCGAAAGACTAAATGATCAAAGCAGAGCAGAAAGCAACAAGTGTAAAGGGAGGGGAAGGCAGTTGTGAATCACACACACACACACACACGTCTCTCCACACTTTGTCAGCAGGGGATTTAAAAATCTACTTGTCTACTTATCCAGTATTGAGATGTTCGCATCGCATGAACTGTAAAATGATGAGGCAAGGAATTGCACCGGCGGCATTTCCTACTTCATCCTTTTATATTAACCACTTAGAAACAGATCATCCATTATCTGCTACCTAAGGGATTCACATGAGCTGTGATCAAATGTGTTCCTTCTCTCTACTTTTTTAATCAAATACTGTATCAACATATTTTGCCAGATTGATGTTAGGGGTATATTTCATGTTGCCGCATACGGTTTCATAAATACAGCAGCTTATGGGCAGTGTGGGTTTCAGCTGTCATGATCTGTAATGTCACTACATTATTAAATAACCAACTCCACTGCTGAGCCTTTCCCCCGCTTTTTACAAAACACCTTTCATCCGTACCCTTTTTTTTATTCTCAGTTACCTCAGGCTAAGGTCAGTCCAAGTTCATATTCACTGGGAGCCTTAAAAGGTTTTGCATGCCTTGTCCATGTTGTTTGAACATCTCCTGGTGGCCTGACAGTGACAACCAGCGAGACAGGTGTTAAAACACTGCTTTGCACTTCCATGTGACATGTAAGCTCTCATCTGAGACAATTCAGACATCAGAGAAAAACTAAAGTAACAATCCCACAAGGCTACTGAAACTAGGGTTGGACGATGTGACGGTGTATGCGGTGCAACGGTATAAATGAGTCCACTGTTACAGATTTGGCAATAGTTTTTCTACTGTGAGAGCAGCTCAGGGCTGGCTAAGTGGCAAATCAGGACTGGATTCTTGTGTCATCTTGCAATTCATGTGCCATCTCCCAAATCAAGCTGCAGTGCAGATGTGGAGGAGGAGTGAAGTTGGAAATACAGATACCTGTAACACTTGTAAGGAACCTTAAAGCTTCCATTTTGAGAGAATTTTAGTCTTTCATTTTTAACCCAAGTGTTTTCTCATGTGAGGCAGCTGCTTTTTCATTTTTATGGCAGTCCCAAATAAAAGACACAAATAATCAAACGTGATGAAGTACAGTATGGTCATTTTAAGCTATTCTTAACTGAATATACAGAACAATTACTGTAGCATAATATATACCTTTACCATGATTTAAAATGGCATATATCCCAACAGAAGATTTTGGCCATATCACCCACACCTACTGAAAACCTAAAGGAAATTTCTTATAAGTTCCTCTTGTACCTTGTAGATTTAAACTGCTGGGCCTAACAAGTAGAGCATCAGCATATTTCCATTTACAGAATATCTTTAGAGGGAGTTTCTGTATTTAGTCAGTGGATCCGGGGATTTAGTGATTTAATGGTTCTCAATTCAATTTGTTAGAATAAAGAATAGTTCAGTTTCTAGATAACTGCAGAATGTACCCAATTTAAAAATGTACTGTTTCAGCCAAATGCTTCAATCTTGTGACTGTTATCTCATATTGTGCAGTGGACACAATCAAATCCTAAATCAACAAACACTAAATCATCACAGATAGGTTTCCCAGAAGCAAAATCTTATCATCCAAGCAGCCTGTGAGCCTGTTTGGAAGTCTGTGTTGTGCATACTGGTTTGTTTCAGCCTATATGATAGGAGAAATTGACTGTTATTGGTGAGGTGGGTTGAAAAGATCAGTAAATCTCTACTAAGAGAGCACTTCATCATTGTCAGGCTTTCCTGTGACATAATGCATACCAACAGGTAGAGCTTCTGTAGGCTACACAGCCCTTAAGGAGCAGGTAAAGTATATGGGAATCAGACACACACACACACACCTGCCGTTGAGCAAGGCAAGCAGCTCCCCAGCGTGGTACAGGTCGTTGCGCGTCACCCGGCTGAAGCGGAAGGAGTTGAGGTTGCAGAAGGTGACAGAGGGGAACACAATCTGCGGAGCCGCAACCTCGTCCAGCTTGGTGACATGAGGGTACTGGAAGTAGAACTGCACCCGGTCCACGCACACCATCACCAGCACACCCAAGGAGCTCAGGAAGAACAAAATCCACAGGGTGCGCTTGATACACATCCGCTCATAAGTGAACATGTGCGAGATGCCATGCAGCGTGGACCTGCTGGCGAAAACTTCAATGGGAGCCGGCCGCTTGTAGTCCATGTCCTCCGAGTCCGCTTTGAGATCCATTATGTCCCCGGGATGAGTTTAGATGAATGAAGGCTATGGGATTGCAAACGGAGGAAAGTGGCTTTATAGACAGGCAGATGCTTTATTAATGGCAAGGAGGTTAGTGTCTGCAAGTTCACGCCCTTCTACGCATGTATTTCTCATGCAGTCTGTGTGAGATGTTGCGTCACTGACAGCCGGCAAAATACCCCGACATTCAGAGCATTTTAGCCAAGATATCCTCAAAATACCCGGTCCTTAATGAAAACACTTGGAGAAAGTATGGGGGAAAGCGTGTGTAGTACCTCGGCTGGGGTCACACTTCCATAATAAATAGCCCGGTGTGGAGCGCGCATGGATAGATGCCAACGCTGTCCTCTCCTCGCACACTCCTGTAATATCACCGAGTTGATATTTGGCTTCCACGCTCAAAACAAAAAGCAAAAGCACTGGGCAGGTCTGCAAAAAAACACAGAGCACGGTCGAGGAGGAAGAAAACAATCGGACAAATCACCACGGCGAGGAAAAAAGGGAAATCTGAAAGAGAAAATCAAAGCGGCGGTGCATTCTCTGTGGCAGAGAGTACACTGGCTACATGGCTTTCTCCGCTCTTCATATGCAATCCCAACACGTGCAGAATAACAAATAGCAGGCTGATTTCTCGCCCGTTAGCGTCTTAAGAGCAGTCGTCGGGGCGCCCGGGGTTTTTTTCACAGCCAGCATAAACAGCTGCATCACAGGGGAGCTGGGTCTGTCAGAAAGCTGCCTCGGTGCGCCTCTGCTCGCTTGCTTGCATCCATCCCCTCCTCCGAGCTTCCTCCACAACAATGCAGCGATAATTACTCCGGTGTCGTTTGGATCCCCGCTGGTTTATTCTCGAATAAGTGTTCTGGAAAAATAAGTGTACCAGGTGTAAAAAGAGACTGAAATGCTCAGCGTTGTGAATTCAGGGGGAAGCCACCTCAGAGGTGGTCACGGTTTGCCGGGATCAATTAAATTCGCCCCAAAGAGGAGAGAGCAAGGATAGGACGGCATGTGTTTTACACCGGGTGACGAAGTCCAACGTCGGTGTCACTTTAGCAATGTATGTGTTTAACCCAGAAGCCTGTACTGAGTCTGCAAATTCAGCTATGACGATACAGTATGACTCAAATATTAGTCATTACCTTAATAACCGCTCGTTTCCTCACTGCGTTCCACTGGCAGTCCTCCAAACCGAACTGACGTTAGCTTAAATGGTTAAAAACTAGCTTACAGTTAGCATCAAGTCTGACTTTCGACGGGTAAAAGTTGCTTTTTTCATTTAACAAATAAATAAACTACAAATTTGGCGACAAAACGTTCCTTGTCATTAACACAGCATTTAAAGTGAGTTAAATTACCTGGTTTTTCAAGTTAAATTAGCTCGGCTAATAGCATTAGCTAAGTGAGTACGACCGAATTCTAACCGTTAAGGTGTAATGTAAAGTTTGGTAAATGTCAGAAAGCAGCTAATGTATAGTGGCCCTTAAGGGTCAAACGCACAACAACATTGCTCAAAAAGAGACTTAAACTAATATTGGTAGCCTAAGTTGGTTTTTAATTTTAAGCTTTGACCTGAATCAAGCCATTGTAATCAACCTACATTTTTACTTAAAGGATATTAACCCCAAAATAAAGAGTTCTTTTAGCTGTCACTACCATCTGTAGTTCTCTTGTGGCCCACTGAGCTAAATTATCATCTGATAAAATTATATAATATGATTTAAAAAAAAAAAAAAATCTAAACTAGTTTTGCATCAAAGTTTACTTTCTCCTATTTTTATTTTATAAATGGTGACAAAGCTTTTCCTCATCATTTGCAGGAGAGGTTAAGTGAGTTATCGTGCATTCAAACCTGCCCTGTTTGGTCTGGTTCAATCGAATTCAAGTTTGTTTGCCCCCTAAGTGCAGTTTGTTTGGGCAGGTGGGAACACAGCAATCGCACTCGGGTGCGCAGCAGAGCCCCAGACCCTCTTGAAGAGGTGGTCTCGGTCCGGTTACAAACGAACTCTAGTGTGGTTCATTTGTGGTGAAGCGTGTTCTGACCTCGATCTGAACCAACTGCAGTCACATGACACATTGTTTGGGTTAAACATGAGCATGTCACAGTCCTGGAGGATTATTAATGTGCACCTCCTCCTGTACTGTCTTAATATGCACATTCAGCACATCCAACGCATCAAAACACTGTTTTCTAGTTGGAGCCGCGCCTCGTTTTCAAACTGTATGGTTTGACTAAAATGAACAATGACAGCAATATAGTCCACGATGACCAGCGCTAAAATCAACCTGCGTAGTTGTCCCTCCATTGTGACATTAGAAAGTGTCACATTTATCTTGCAAGTGTACTCTTCTTCAACGTTTTGTTTACTTCCTGGATTTTTCCCGCATGGAAATTCTGACCAATCAAGAGCAGCTTTCTCACACAAGGCATTTGATCTGGTCCGCTTGTAAATGCTGCCGTGAGAACACGAACCAACTCTAGGCTATTATGTAAGTTTGTAACAAAATCAGTCCCTGATTCAGACCAAAGCAAGACAACTCTAGGTCTGAAAGCACCCTTAGATTACCTGTTTTCTGTCAGGGCTGTTAAAATGCCGACCACTGTAATGTAAAGTAAGGCTACAGTTGTAATTAGCTAATGTAAGGCGGCTCTGAAGCGCAAAGCACACAGGAAACAAACATTTCAAAAAACACAGGCTAAAATAAGATTAACATTTTGCATATTACAAACCATTTTTTATGATGTTTTTGGCATTTCTGCTTTATCTGATAGAGAGACAAGAAAGAAAAGGCAGGGGGATGACATGCAGCAAAGGACCCGGGCAAGACTCAAACCTGTGCTGCTGCGGTAAGGACTTGGCTTTGAAGGTCAAGTGTGTAGGATTTAGGCGGATATACTGGCAGCAATAATAACTTTATTTTCTTTAGTGTATAATCACCTCAAAATAAGAACTGTGTTTTCGTTACCTTAGAATGAGTCGTTTACATCTGAATAGGGAGCAGGTCCTCGTTCATGGAGATCGCCATGTTCCCCACCACGTTTCAACAGTAGCCCAGAATGGACAAACCAAGCACTGGCTTCAGATAGGGCCATTCGCATTTTCATGTCAGCCACCGCAGTTAGAAGCCTATCTGTGATGAGCAGCGTCAAAAAACACTAATTTGTGACAGGAAACTGTTTTATTCAGTGTTTTTACTATTTAAATCACCAGGTCTGTTTGTTTTGAAGAGGAGTAGACCTCGGCATATAACTCGGCTTCCGGCAAAAATCACTTGAACATCTGGATCCTACATTATCAGAGAAAAAACATGAGCACATATGAGCATGTGGTGGGCGAGCAGCCCATCTCCAACACTCCAAACAGCATCTGTGCAACACTGATTTATAATGTGTCCTGAATTTGTCAGTTAATTGTTGGATGGTGTTGACAAATGGATTTGCATTTTTCAGATTTTGTCAAATTGCTTTCATTTACTTGTGTGAATTCCCTACAGGAGAATAGCATTTTTTATGATTTTTTTTATACTGAGAAACATCCAAAGTGTGCTGTTTATGGTGCCAATGGTTAGGATAAGATTTCCATTTGTTTTTTATATATTCAGTTTACTGCAATTACACATGACTTAGCACACTGGCATTTATTTATACACAGTGCTAGTGGTGATGAAGTCTGTCACATGGCTTTTGACTGTGTTCATGTGTAATTTTTAAATGGAAAAGCTTGGAAAGTTGAGATTCATGTAGTTGCTTATCCACACACTGCACTAGCTTGGGCTAAATTGAAAACAGTGAACACCGAGTCAGTGTAGTGGCTGGTTCTTAGGGGCAAAAGGGAAAAATGCCAGCACTCACAAATGTCCTTTTGGTAAATTTAATAAACCAACTTGGGTGGCAGTACCAGAAACACAGACGTTTCGACAGAAAGTCTTCTTCAGTATGTAATTCAGGTTATGGAAGTGCCGTTTAACTCAGGTTATGGAAGTGCCTGTGAACAACAGTAAAACGTGTGTGCTTAGGGGCAAATAAAGTACCCAGTTTTCAGATAACAATCAGATCATAAGTGCACAGGAAAAGACTTACATAAAGTTACTGAGTAACTGGTTTTTAGGAGCAGAAATGAAAAAAGGAAGAGTTGCAGCAGTGTTATAGTTAAATTCTGTCCTAACAGCATACTGTGCAGGTCTTGAGCTGACTGAACAGAAGGGGGCACTTGCCTAGCTTGAGGTGGATGACTCCCTTTAAGGCATAGACATACTGTAGTTTAATAAAGGTTTCCCAAAAAGGGCACTTTAGCACTTAGAGGTCCGCTCACTGGAGGAACTTAGTGCTCACATGACGTCTAACTAAAAGGCAAAAACAACCCATAAGAAAAACATGAGCGACACATTACATTTGCCATAGATATGTAGCAAAACATTACATATATGTTAATTTAAAAAAAAAAGTTACGTAACAGTAAACAAAAGAATTTTAAAAGTTCAGGACAAAGTAATGTGCTTCAGGATAATTAACCACTTCAAAATCATTCAGCAGTGCTAATGATGCACACCTGCGCATACTCACACACATACTTACATATCTGTACACAAATACACATGTACTGTTATGCAGAAACACACACTGGATGTTGTCGGTCCAGATGTAAATTTCTTGCTTAAACAAATCCTCACACTTATACATGCACATACATCTAGCTTTGCACACATAGATTTACACAAATATACAGTATTACCTGCATACATGCTGTATACACGCATGCACATACCACACATACACCTTCACACACGGTTATACATGGTTGCACGCATGCACACAGTTGTACACAGGCTCACACAAATCCCTGAACAAATCTATTTTCTCTCCTGACCAATTCTCTGTAGTTGACTGAATGGAACATCCAAATATGTCAGAGTGAGTGAGTGAGCCAAACACAGGCAATAAGGCAGATGTGTCGCAAGACTGCCAGTGCCAAATCTGTCATAGAAACCGTATTGCCAAGAGGCGAGGGGATCTCACCCATGAAATTGTTCATAATGCGTCCATAATTGCCATTTGCCATAGTATTGACTGTGACAATGTGGCAGTCATCTATAAAGCCGGCATCTTATATTGATCAGCAGTGCTGGGAAGATGAGCCATGCTCCGTTCCAGTGAGGTGATGTGAATTCTGGGTAGACGTTGCGCAACTGTGACACACGTGGGTTTGAAATTACAGTAGATATTAAATTACCGGGGTACATTCTGATAGCAGGTGCCGGGATGTACGGTTACCCAAATTTAGCTTTTGACACGGCTGTTTGTTCATGCCACAATGATGCTGGAGTGGCTCGCTGAGAGATTACTTCTATCCATTTACATTATTCTGAAGAATATGATAGTGTAATGCTCCTCAGAGGTACCTGGATGAATAGGCCTCTCAGACAAAGCCGTTTTTCAGTGCAGCTTTCTTTGCAGGCAGCTCTTTGGATCAGCCAGACTTTCCTGCTGTCCAGGCCTGCTTATGAATACATTTCCATCCATTGGCACCATGAAAGTGGCTCTTTATTTTACAAAAGACATTTTGAAAGCTCAGAAGTCGAAAAAGGAAAGTCAGATTTATTGGCAGCACTTGTTCTGTTCTCAGAGGGGAGAATTACTTACACTAAAAGATTATCAAGTTAAAGGTATTGCACAATCTGCAGCAGTTATCTCGGTGATTCAGTAAGAGTGTCTTTGCAGAGTATATTTTATCACAGTGATCAGGTGTTATGCACTGAGTCTAGTTTTTATTTCCAAGGTACATTATTTGTTTGTGTAAAGGCACAATACTTAATTAAAATGTTAATGCCACAGTTGTTCTAAGCACAGAACTGGAGCATGCCACCCCTACAAAACTCATTACATGGTTTTTAATACAGTTGCAGACTTCAGCTACCCAAGTTATTAAGGTGGTTTCAATCAGTAGTTTTGTAAAAACAGGAGAAATACAGGGCTTTTTTCAATTACTGT